TCTACTGGTTTCTTATCCTACTGCGCACAATCCACCTGTGCTCCTCTTGCCGTGCTCTGACCTCTCAGTTGACCTTATCGGTCATCCCTGGATGAGGACTTTGCACAAACCCTTTCATTATCCCTCCAATCAACCAGCAGTGATGACATTTGGGTGGAGACTTTTTTTATAATACATCTTGCCTCTAGTCTTTCGACTACGAAACACATCCTCCGAGCGCCCACTACATTCACATCATGGCAACCAACAAACAGCCACCCGCAAGTGGTGGGCAGTTATTCACTGTCAGTGGAACTCTAACTGTCATTATCACCGACGTCAATGATGCACCGCCAACCATCGTAGGAGGACAGTAAGTTGAGATTAATTAACTAAGGGAAGTATAAGTTAGGTAGGAGATCTAAAAGAAGGAGACGCTTGCAGTAACTGCTTTACTAAATCAGTCCTCACTTCGTTGTCATTAGTGGACGGTGATAATTGAAGTTTATCGTTACCACAAGTGGCGTCAGGTGTCTACCCTCCTCTCCCCCCTCCCCTTTTGAGAGACATTTATCTCCTCTGAAGTAATATACTGGTGGATAATGAAAGTTGACTGTGGAACAGTTGCCGATTGCAGGCGGATTGAAGTCTCTCCACTTTGGTTTTTCGCAGTGCAGAAGGAGACCACTCCTTTGTTCACAATTGCCCTGCCTTAGACTGCCAGGAGCAAACGTCCTTCAAACCCATTTCTAAGGCTATAGAGGGGTGGGCTAAGGTGGACGAGCCACATATTGGAACCCTATGTCACCAGGAGGTCCCTGGAACTCCTCCACAAAAGTCCACCTAAGCCCTCATCTGCACTTTTAGAAACTTTGACATCACCGTGACGGAGCGAGCCAATGTGGGCATGGAGTTCTTTGAAATTTTCATTGAAGATGGCGATATTTCGGATTGGGGTAATCACTCCTGTTCTTTGGTCACGAAAAACAGTTACTTTGATGTAGTCTACAATCCCACAATCGATGCCTGTGGTATTAAAGTAAGTGAAACTTGAAAAAAAATGTCGATGCGATTTAAATTTCCATTTATTCTGCCACATCTCCTTCTTCTGCAGCCCCTACGGAAATTAAATGTTGATATAAATCCACCAGTGCCTCCAGGACCTCAAATCCTTACCATAATAATACTTGACTCACAATCCAGTCACACGGCCACTGCTCAAGTACGCATCACTGTGACAGAGGACAATGACAACCCTCCTCAAATTGTCTTACAACCAAGCTCAGGTCCGGGTGAGCTTTGGGATGGAACTCCGGGAGTGATGATGCTTGTAAATCTTCAAATCTCCATCGTGGATTTGATCACTGAGGGCGCATGGTTCCACCTTGATTCCAAATCCTCTGCTGGCGGGACATTCGGGATTGATACGATTAGTGACCAGTCTGTAAGACTGTTGTTATATGCAATGAGTTTCAAAACCACCTCAATGATCACTTAAAACTAGTTTGCTTAGTAAGTAAACTGCGCCACTTTCACACTTCTATTTCCATGTCACTTTCTCAAGGCACGCGTTCAATTGATCTCGCGCATCGACAGAGACAATCTTTTGAATCTGCTGAAAGACCCATCTACCTCGCCTGTTCCCTCGCCAATTTTGCCCACACCAACGGATGGAAGGGTGCGCTGGCCTCTGGTCATCAGTGTAAATGATAGGCGAGAGCCCTCACTCACCACTACCACAACGATGACCTTGACCGTTATTACAAAGGGACCTGTACTGTTAAGCGATGAACTGGAGGGCTATACTGTTGGGGACAATTCTCCCCCTGACACACTCATAACTCCACAGCAAATTTCAGCAGTGTAAGACTTACTAACCGAAGTATAATAGTTAATTAAAAGCCCTTCAAGACCATCATCACAGAATGATATTCTGATTTTGTAGTTCCAATTCGACACCACAACTATGCCACTAGATAATAATACTTTTTACAGCAATAAAAACCTAAGCTAGAAGGATATGATGCTTTCTCTTCAGGGATCTGGACTATCCAAATCAAAGAAGTAGCATCTCCTATGAAATTAGTTCTCAATCAGCTCAGGCTCTCAGGCTTTTCAAAATAGTCAGTCAGACTGATGGAAAGTTTGACCTAGGGCTGAGAACCACCCTCTCACGAGAGGCTGAAAAAATGTCCTACTTCCCCGTGCCAATTGTCGCCACAATATCCCACCTGACCAGAACAGCCACGTCTACACTGACAGTGACAGTGACCACTAACAACCCTTTGGCGCCATCGGATGCTCACGGAAGTCTAGATGCATTCATACCCTCAGGTAAGTTAACCTTTCCTATTGTGGTGTATTTGATGTGGTATAGATGCTGAAAATCGATCGTATTCATCGGATTATCGATTTTATTGAAAAACTGATTCAGCGCCTAATCTCCACGATTTCAATTCACACTTAGGCGGTCATTTCTGTACAGTGTCTGATGCTTTCCGCAAAAATGTTTATGCTGCTTTTTCTTTATTTTTAGACGTTTGGTACTGGCCATGTAAGTTGAATGGATGATCCCTTTAAAGGGATCTGGGCGGAGTTTTCCTTTTCTGGAAAGACATTATTGATTTCTTTTTGAAGATAAGAAGGCGTTACCCGATCTGCCGATTGGCTCGATGCCTGTTGTAGAACGGTTTGCCTCCGATCGAAGCAGCAGGATCTTCCAATTTTTTCCGGAAAATGAGGATGAACTCATGTTTAGGTAAGTGCTTTAATTAAGCACTTCTGTGCTACTTGGCCTGTAACTAAATGCCCCAACTATTTAACGTCCATTAATGCATTTTCAAGGTTTGGTTTCAAAATGTGTTCATTTTGATCCATGAATCGAGAAATCCGTAGCAAAAGACACTTCAAGTGGATCTCAGTCTGAAATTATTTAGTACAATCTTCTTTTCTATAATTTCAAACAAGTGTATGTATAGCTTTCAGCTGGTAGGGTTATGCAGCTTAGATATCACGAAGTAACTCTGATTTCTTAGACGTTCATGGCAACCTCGCATGATTCCCTCCTCTTGATAAACATCATTCGTACAATACGATTTATCCTTTCCAACTTCTCCATGGGCTATGTGCAAACCCAAAACTATATTACTCTGCTCATGTGAGAGCTTCGTCATTCTAAGGTTGGCAATACTCTTAAATTATCCTGTCCACCTCTTCTACGGAACTTTTTGTCCCCATTCGTGCTTTCTCAGGTGACAGATTATTGTGTCTACCGGTTCTTTTCTGTTCTGATGGTGGTGGTAGTAGCAGTAGTGCACACAGATGCCGACACCACATTCGGGAGAAGTGTCCATCTTTAAGTATAGTTGAAGGCGATGCCTTGCTATTACTAAGAAGCAAAGTACTGTACTGTACTGCACAAATTGCTGCTGATTTGCTGAGAGTCTTATACGCGGTGATACGTGGTATCTCATGGTTTTCTATAAATTGGCATTTCCCTCTAGCTTGTCTTGATTGCTTATGTTGGCTTCTCCGAGGAATTTACTATCACAATAGCCTTCCGTTCTTATAAAATGTCAGTGAACCAAAACTCCCTCACAGACAAATCCGTAGTCCATATTGTAGCAAATTTAAAAAAGGGTTTTGTCCTTAATACTGTAAACCCTTTTAGGATAAATGATGGCGGTCTCCTCTACCTGCTCACAGCATCACCGCCAGGCAAACTTTCAGTAAAAGCTGGAGTTAAGACAAAATTTGATTCTTCCCTCCCCAGTGCATCAAGTGAGCTTGGTGTTCAAATCAACTGGTTGCCTGGCAGTGCTTTTACAAATGGCATCCTCATTAGGATTGACAAAGCGACACTACCGTGGTTTGTGAACCAGGTCGACACTTCCGTAGTAAGTTCCATTGTTTTCCTCAATCCCCTACCCAGGCGGAAATCAGTAACGCTATTTTATCATGCTAGTCGACACCGCGAGGGCGACTAATTGACGCTTTGGCAAAGAAGTTGGAGACAAGTGTTGGTTCCGTCACAGTTTTCCCCGCCAACACAATTGGGGAAGCAATAAACGTATTTGTGGGGTTGCATGAGTCGCCGTATGAGGTTCCCGGAAGGTAGGCTAAAAATTGGATTTATAATTACTTAAATTTTCGTCAAATTGGCCAGAGTATTTGCTTTGTTTCTCAGCAGCTAAAAGGGACAGCAGAATAGGTGCCTTCGTTATTAGGAGTGGTGGTTGGACACCTTTTAAATAGCACATAAAAATATTGAACTTCGTAGTCTTCAGTCAAGGCAGTGGAAACCGGTAAGAAATAAGGCACAGGCTCTTTTCCAGCATAAAAGGGCGTTCAGTATCACATGTCGTGTCCCACTGGACAGAAAGGAATGGATGCTCAATCATTCCTTCATTTAGCGAATTTATATGTAATATTACTAAAGGCCAGTCAAGGTCTGGACCTAAAATTATTTGATTTCTTAGTCCAACATCCACCGAGTGAATCATGTTGATGCTAAACATCCTCTTCCCTCCTCACTCCTTTCCTAATTGCGGCTGCATTCCTCTTTTTAGGGATTAGCATTAATCTCAAACAAAGTTGGGATTGTATATTTCTATTTACTGTCGCAGGACAGAAAAACAGATGTTGTGTTGAAAAATTTTAGAGTAATAGATACAATTCTCAATGACGCTGATCTCTACACTGCAGCCCTGAGAGGCAACAGTGCCAACCTGCAGGTTAGTCTAGCCCCAACTGTCAACGGATTGACCGGGTCTGTGGATTTGCAGTGTGCCACAGACGCAGCTGCCCTGGCTGTCTGCAACTGTAGAGGCTGCAGAAGCAGGTTGAAAACTCCTAGGATACCCTCAGAAGATGATGATTCAGCTGGTTTGACGTCTTCTGCCCCTGGGGTTACAGCCATTGGTCCCATACTTGAGACTTGGGTTGATTGTTGGTGCAATGGTGGAGATCCGCAACCTCCTACACAAGCTCCTATTACCTGTCTAAGTCCTGACGCCTGCTTGAATGGGGGATTTTGCAGGTACCTTTCTGTCTGTCCAACCTCTCGCCTTCCTTCATCTTGCTACCATAATGGATACGGTTTCTCAATTTGTTGAAAGTCAGGAAATAGCTTACCATGCATTTGTGCTAAATTGACAACTTCACCTTGTTTCCTCAGACGTAATTCCAAAAATTGGACTTTTTTATACCGTGCCTTGATCGTGTTTAGGTTTTCCGACTTCAAACTAAAGCGTCCAATCTATACGATAAGCATCAGTAGCTTGAAAAGCATTTGGGCTTCATCATGGACAACTCTTAGATTAAGACACCTACACGGGTTCTCCCCCACTGAACAATTCATCCGTTTTACAGAAGACGGAAATTGAACAATTATTTTTTGTCCTAAAACTACTGTGCATCTGCTTACTCAAGGTTTTCAACTTAACGATGGCTGCATCCAGCTCTTCTTTGTTTCACTGACGAATTCAGATAGTGAAGTGGTAACTGCTATGGTTTGGTGGAACTTTCAGGTTAAGTGTTTAGTGCCTCCAAGACTCTTCAGCCACAGAGCTTTCAACTTTAATGCGTAAAATATAAAAGTAGCAGTTAGCCTACCTCTACAGATCTCATTAGTAATTAGTAAAGATACACTATTATATGAAAAAGAGAGCATTCGTTCTGTCAAAGTTGTCGCGTAACAAAATATTTTCTTCACTCTGCGATTGAGATGGGCGGTAAAATTAGAGGGATTTTGGGGATGCAGTGTTAGTGAGGATCACGCCTGACATGTCGCTGAGATGAAAGTGGAAACTACACAGGTAAAGGAGTGCATATCCCTTTTAAAGCGTCTCATTCGACGCCACCTTTGTCCATCATTCCGATGACGCCAGCTCTCGGCCCAACAGAGTCTCCTCATTGGCCACGAGGGTGGGTGGTTATTAAATTTCCATTTTTAATCTTACTGTCATCTAAAGGTTATTGGCAGATCCACAGACTCAAGACTGTGGATTCAGATTCAATGAATGAATGTCAAATACTGACGCTTGTTTCAAGCCGAGGCATCAACTTCGCATGAATACCAGAAGCATCGTCCAGTAACTCCCTCGATTATTTTGAGTTCACTTTCATTTTGCCTGTCCAAGTGGTAAAATATGGTGCCTCTTTCAGTCCTTTACAGATTTTTTTCATCTAGAATAATTCCTTATTTTGCTATTGGTAATGATTAAGATGTGAAGAGATCTCCTTTTTTAATTGGCCCTAAACGAAATTTTCCGGGAAATTCACTTGTACTGATTTACAGCTAACATGATGATAGTCCCAATGACAATTCCTAAACTGAGCATTTCTTTGTTTCTTTGGAGGCGAAAACAAACCTTGAGGATTTAAGCTTGTGGTTGTTTAGGCCTTGCCTGTGCTATGGAACAATGTCAATCTTACTTTCGCGAAAAAAAGAACAACCTGATTGTAGTCCTTCGAAGTTATCTCTTACCCACCACGGCATGTCTCTCTAAATGAATATTTAAACAATTTTTCTCATTTCTTCTGGGTAACCCTAATTACTGTAATTGTGTAATTGTTGGGCTAATGACATTTGACAATGGTAATGATAATGTTAAACTCACTGAATTGGTGATAGCTGGATCAAGTATTCTCACTTTTATGCCAGCTCGTCTTTGAGCACCTCCTGAGCGTGCAACTTACCATTTTCAACACAAAACAAACCCTCATTCACTCGATAGGGAGGAATTTCAGAACTAAGGCGATGGAATTATTTGTGTACGCGGAGAACATGGGAAAAACTACGTTCCCAGTGGTACCCTCATCATGCTGCCAACCATTTGCCTTATCTTAATTAATGTCGCCACTTGCCATAATCAAGGTATCCTATCCACACGCAGCTCAATTTTCCATCCACTTTTCAAGTTGATAGGAGGAAAAAAAGAGGCTATTGAGCAAATGACTATACCAGGTGATGTACGTTGAACGTAATTTCCTTGTGACACCTTTACGGTGCTATTACGTGAACGCGAAGAAGGGCGGGAGGAGTTTCTGAGGCTGCAACCATTTCCACCGTGTTTGTTTTGTGAATCCTGCCATACTACGTTCCACAATCGTATGTGCTGACGTTTGACGATGATGCTGGCACCACGGTTTAGAAGTGTCCATCTTTAAGTATAGTTGAAGGCGATGCCTTGCTAGTACTAAGAAGAAAGGTATAGCTTCAGTACCAAGGTCGTTTGACTCCTGCTTAACAGGCTTCTTAAGGTTCACTCTTCTTCCGGATGATTTGTTAAGCATGATTTTGCAAAGGTGAAGGATATTTACCCTTTCCAGGGAGCTGAGTTAGCTGTCTCTTCTAACAGCGCATTCGAAGCAAACTCTCACCTCTGAACTACAGAGTTTGAGGCACGGTAAAAGTTGTATTAACTGTGATGATAAGGTTATAATATAAAACACAGGATTCCATTAAACAATCATTCTCTAAGGAACGTCAAAGTAACTCAAAGGCAAACCATATAAAGATACCCTTTAAGATGTCATTGTTTGTTGACTGGATGTTGTATCACCTCGCAGTGAGAAATGATATTTTGTATCTGTTACATGCCGCGTTTGTTTCCCACCTGTTTTTCACCCCATACCTTCAAGACAAGTCACCACTTCGTCCGCTGAAGACAACTAGCGTTTTGTTTTGCCATGCATCATTGAGGAAACACTGTACTTTGCTCTAGTGATTACATCAGTTAAAACAGGCAAGGCAATTTCAGATCTTATACAAAGTTGCTTGACTACTTTGTACAATTAATTTCCGCATTTAGTGGCCGATTTTACCTCCTGATTTGTTTCAATGATAGACAGTTCCTTACACATGTGTTTAGTGTAGAACCTGGAACCCAGACAATAAGGTGTGAATGTCCCTCCGGATTCATGGGTCCACGCTGCGAGCAAACACAACTCTTCTTTCCTCAAAGTGGTTACGCCTGGACCCCGAACATCGGCAGCTGCAGCCGCCTTCACATTCAGTTCACCTTCAAAACACCCTCCACAAATGGCCATGCTGGACTGATTTTGTACGCCGGTCCAATTAGTCAATCATCAACGAATGTGAAGATGCACGATTTCATTGGTCTCCAAATTGAGCCGGGAGGACATCAACTCAAGTTAGCCTACAGCCTTGGCGCAGCCGGTTTGTTGGCTTCAACAGTCGCAGTCAATACGCGATTGGACGATGACAGTTGGCACCAAATTGACTTAATCCTTTTGCAAAAAGTAGTAAGTGGTGTCACATAACAAAATATCTGCCACAAATTCACCGGCTGATCTCGCACTGCACATAAGTTTTGAGCTGAAAGCAAAGGCATATCATGAAATGCATTGCAAAGATGTTACTTGAAAGGCTTATAAGTAGCTTAAATTATTCAACTATAAAATCTAAACATTAATTTTTAAAGGCAAGTGCCTTTACAGACGGTTCCATTATCGACAAACAAGCGGATAATGGGACATTTTTCAAAAAATCTCACCACAGCTAAACGAAACGGGCAAGGTACGACAAAATAATGTATGAGTATCTGATCCATGCTACTTATATCCGAACAACTTCATTAATCGTTGTAGATCAACACGGAGATGGTATTGATGGTTGATGCATGCAGGCTCAGTGAAGGCACATCTAAAGAAAATGGTCTTGAGAATCCACCGAATTTGAACGATTGCCTCTTTTCTCTGCCTTACAACATTGGAATAGATCGAGCCCTCAATGTGGGCCAATGGCCATTGCAACTAGGAGGGCGGAAGCTGACAAGTGGTGTGACTCTCTACCCCACCGAAATGACCACCGAACCACTTCCTGCGGGTAGTGCTTTCAAGCATGTTTTAGTTAATGGAGAACTTTGGAACCTGGCTCAATTTGGTTCTGTTCAAAGTGCTTCTCCTGCACCTTCTGTCTGCCTCAATGTCAAGGGACAAGATGTGTGTGCGCCCAATGTGAGTCATTTTTTCTCCAAAACCTGAGGCTAGGTTGTAGGTTATGTATCTCAAAGTCAGCACTAACGCAGACGGATAGACTTTACTAATAATTATGAGGTTAATCCTAGTTCAGAGTCGGTTAAGAACGCCAATTTTTTTTTATCTCCCACCTCTTCCACCACTACAACTCCCAACGACGCTAAGCGCCGTCATTCATGCACTGCAAACCATTTACTTTTGCTTATTGGATTTGTCGAAAAGGGCGTCTGTTGGGAGTCTAATGGTCAACCTAAATGCAACTGCAGAGCAGGATTTCAGGAGAAGGATGGACAATGTAGTCCTTCT